CAGGCATGGTGGCAGGCGCCTGTAGTCCCAGCTACTCAGGAAGCTGAGGCAGGAGAATGGCGTGAACCCGGGAGACCGAGCTTGCAGTGAGCCGGTGACACTGCACTCCAGCCTGGGTGACAGAGCGAGACTCCATCTCAAAAAAAAAAAAAAAGTGATTACAGCACTACCTAATTTATTACACAAAACAGTGGAACCTAGTAGAGAAGATGGAGGAAAGATTCATAAAGAATGGGAAAGGGAAGGGAAGAGAGGAAAGCACTGAGTACCTTATTTCAGATTGGAATAGATAAAATATTTTATAATAGTAATTATATTAATATTGATTATATTGTATAGGTTGTTATAATAGTGTTCTTGAAATATCTAATTATAGAATTAAGAATGAGGTGTCTGAATACCTTATTCATAGAATAAATATAAACATGAAGAGAAAAAACAAGCATAAAAAGACATCATAGTACCAGCATAAATGGATTCCATTTGGACTGATAAATAAAATCCAACAATATGTTGCTTATAAAACACTGACTTAACACAGATAGTATAAGGCAAAAATTACCTCCACATTGGAAAGCCCTATTTATCAGTCTTGAATAAAACAAAGAGTTGAATAAAACAAAAAGTATTTATGTAAGAGAAAACAGAATTCAAGGGTAAAAAAGTTGATATTGCATATCATTTTTGTGTTAACAACTTAAAGCTCTCTGAAATTGACACCAAAAATAAAAGATGTGCCCAAATTGGCACAACTGTTATGAACTGGATTTACATGTATCTGAATTTAACTTTCTGTACATGATTATCTTTCTTTAAATTTTTTGGTGGGAGAGGCAAGGCTTGGAAGATCTGAGTAAAGCAGTGAATTCTTTTCCCATTAAAATGAAATATGTAAAATCTTGCATACAACTAGGGAAATTTTGCTGGAGGAGGGCCAGCTAAGAGTCATTATTGGGGAGATGGCAAAGGTAAGGTTAAAGTTCTGCAAATAAAGGTTCCTAGAAATTTAAACCAAGTTTAGAACTGGAAACCCCTACTGAACTCCCCTTGCAGTGGGAAAGGGTACTTTTTTTTTTTTTTGAGATGGAGTCTCACTATGTCACCCAAGCTGGAGTGCACTGGCGTGATCTCTCCTGACTGCAACCTCCGCCTCCTGGGTTCAGGCAATTCTCCTGTCTCAACCTCTGGTTATAGGTGCATGCCACCACGACCAGCTGATTTTTGTATTTTTAGTGGAGATGAGGTTTCACCATGTTGGCCAGGCTGTTCTCGAACTCCTGACCTCTAGTGATCCGCCTGTCTTGGCCTCCCGAAGTGCTGGGATTACAGGCGTGAGCCACCATGCCCAGCCAAGGTGCTCTTTATATTCAATCAGACAAGGTTCTCATTGGTTCAGTTTTTTGAGGGCCTGTTTAAAGGAGAAGTTGTAGACAGCAGTGCACAATAAATTTAATTGTCCAATTATTTAACAAGAATTTCACTCTACAATTTTTGTTTTTGAATGACACTTTTTCGGGGGCAAGCCTTATGTATGTATATTATTGGTTTCTTTTTAATGATTTTTATTTTTATTTTTAATTTCAGAAGAAAATGTAGTTTTATAACACTACCATTTATCTCCACTGTGGTAACTGGTATTAATAATCTGGTGTGTACCCTTCCTGTTTTTCTATGCTTGTATAAACATCCATACATACATACACGGTTTTATGGAATTACCATTTTTTACTCTGCTATTTGCTGTTTTTACTTGTCCTTGATTTTTTTTATTTTGATTATTACTATTTTGAGATGGAGTTTGCCCTTTTTGCCCAGGCTAGAATGCAGTGGTGCGATCTTGCCTTACTGCAACCTCTGCCTCCCAGGTTCAAGCAGTTCTCCTGCCTCAGCCTCCTGAGTAGCTGGGATTACACCACGCCTGGCTAATTTTGTATTTTTAGTAGAGACAGGGTTTCACCATGTTGGACAGGCTTGTCTCCAACCCCTGACCTCAGGTGATCCACCTGCCTCAGCCTCCCAAAGTGCTGAGATTACAGGCCTGAGGCACTGCGCCTGGCCTGTCCTTGATATATTACTAGCTTTCCATGTCAATACATACAGATTTTGGCTGTGTGATATGCCATAGTATGCACCATAATTTAGTTAACCATTTCTACACTGATGGCCCTTGGGTTGTTTCTTCTTTTGTCAAGAGAGCTTCAGTGAACATCTTGGTTTGTTTATCTTTATATACTCATGCTTTTATGCAGGATAGATTTTTCCCCTAGAAATATAATTATTAGGCCCTGTGGCATGTATGTTTCAAATTGTATAATATATGCAGTCATATCAACTTCTTAAATGTTTATGGCAATTTACCAGTAATCATTTATGTGGGTGCCCATTTCCCTCCACCCATTATTAGACACATTTATATCTTAAGAATTTATTAAAACCACAGATGCTAAGAAAGATGTGGGAGAAGTATTTGATAATCTTGGAATAGGAAAGGTTTTTTAAAGCAAGATACAAACCTGTAAGCCATGAAGGGAAAAAATTGCTGTTATAACTTCACAGACAAAACAATTTCTGCTGACCAAAAATTTACAAATGAAGTCAAGATAAATAAAAAACATTTGTACCATATGGAAAAAGGGCTGATCTATCTATATATATGTGTGTGTGTGTGTGTGTGTGTGTGTGTGTATACATATATCAGTGTGTGTATGTGTATGCTTTTTCCAGACACATAAAAGACCACAACCCAGTAGAAAAATGGATATTGGATGTGAAAAAGCAGTTTATAGAAAACAATACAAATAACTTATTAACGTATGAAAAGATGTTCAATATCTATAATTAAGAAATTATAAATTAAAACATTTTTCACATAGTGAAGTTAGATAAGATTTTCAAAATTAGGCCAGGCGTAGGAGCTCACACCTGTAATCCCAGCACTTTGAGAGGCAGGTGGATCATTTGAGCCCCAGAGTTTGAGACCAGCCTGGGCAACATGACGAAACCCTGTCTCTATAAAAAATGCAAAAATTAGCTGGGCATGGTGGCATGTGCCTCTAGTCCTGGCTGCTCTGGAGGCTGGAGCCTGAGAGAATTGCTGGAACCCAAGAGATTGAAGATGCAGTGAGCTGTGATCATGCCACTGCACTCCATCCTGGGTAGAGTGAGACCCTGTCTCAAAAAAAAAAAAAAAAAAAAAAAAACTGCTGTGGCTATAGTTCTAGCTACTCAGGAGGCTGAGGCAGGAGGATCCGTTGACCTCAGGAGTTTGAGGCGGCTGCACTGAGCTGTAATCGCACCACTCTACTGCAGCCTAGGCAACAGAGCAAGACCCTGCCTCTAAGTAAAAAATTAATAAAAAGATGTTATGAGTTAAGATATAGGAAGATAGGGATTCACACATTATGTTTTGGAGTATAATTGGTGCATTCTCAGTAATTGGCAATTTGACAGTTTAAAAAAATTTTTTAACATTTAGATGCAGGGTACACGTGCAGGTTGGTTACATGGATAAATTGCATGTCATGGGGGTTTGGTGTACAGATTGTTTTGTCACCCAGATAATAAACATAGTACCCAGTAGCTACTGTGGTTTCAATCTGTACAGGGTTTTAAAAATCAACCTCAGCTTATAATGAAGCATAATAGTCTCCTGTCTCATGTTGATTTATTGACTAGATGATATCTGTTGACTTTACATTTTAAGAGAAAAGGATATAGCCAATTCGTTACACTACTCTCATCCTCTCTTCCCTATTTGTATCAACATATTATTTTGAAAATACTCAAATATGCACAAAAGTTGAATATGACGGTGAACACCCATACACCCAAGACCTAGATTCTATAGTTAGCATTTTGCTAAATTTGTTTTATCACATTTCTGTCCATCTAACAATCTCTGTTCATCCATTAAGCTATCTGATTTTTTGTGTATTTTAAAGTGTAAATTGGCGTACATTAATTTACTTCATCCCTAAATACTTCAGCATGCGTATAATTAACTAGAGTTTAATATTTATTTAAACTTTTGAGGTAAAATTTACATACAGTGAATGCACAGATCTTAAGTGTTAAATTTCATGAGACCTGTATAAAATGTTACCATTACCCCAGAAAATTCTCTAATACCCTTTCCAATCTCCAGAGGTAATCATATTCAGATTTTTTTCACCATAGATTTGCTTTTCCTTTTCTAGAACTTAGTATAAGTGGAATCATCCAATATGTACTCTTGTGTAAGGCTTCTTTCATTTAGCATAGTGTTTTAAAGATTCATTCATGTTATTGTATATATTAGTAGTATTCCGTTGTATGAATATGCCATAGTTGATTTGGCCACTTTCATTAGGACACCTGGTCTATTTCCAGATTTAGGCTATTATGAATAAAGTTGTTATGAACATCCTTGTACAAATCTTTGTGTGGACACACCCTTTCATTTATTTTGAGTAAATACATAAAGCATTGTAACACTTTAGTTTGTTAAAAGATATCCACAGAAGATACTACTTCACACCTACAAGAATGACTAAAATTTAAGACTGGCCATAAAAAGCCATAAAAAGACTGTGAGAAATGGGAAATAATCTGGTAGAGAGTACAGGGAAGCTGTCTGAGATGACTTAAATGTTCTGTACTTGATTAGGTATTGGTTATATAGGTATATGCATTTATCACATTACCAAATAATGAAATATACATTTAAGATCAGTGTATTTTACTGCATTTAAGTTTTACCTCAACAAAAGTAAAAGTAAACCTTAAAAGCAAGTGTGTTTCATTTTATGCCTGTTCAAAATAGAATCTATGTGGACAATTGCTTTGAAGACCAAGGGGGATTGTGGAGGAGAGGGGGTGCAGCATTGGGAGAATAAGCCAGATCAGACAACTCAATTTAAAATGCGACTCTAAGCGCCGGGCATGGTGGCTTATGCCTGTAATCCCAGTACTTCAGGAGACTGAAGCAGGCAGATCAGTTGGGGTCAGGCGTTCAAGACCAGCCTGGCCAACATGGTGAAACCCTGTCTCTACTAAAGATACAAAAATTAGCTGGGCGTGGTGGCGCATGTCTGTAATCCCAGCTACTCAGAAGGCTGAGGCAGGAGAATCACTTGAACCCGGGAGGCGGAGGCTGCAGTAAGCCAAGATCGCACCACTGCACTCCAGCCTGGGCAACAGAGTGAGACTCCATCTCAAAAAAAAAATGACTACAAGAATTAAAAAAAGAAAAATGATAAACCCGGGAGGTTTAAATGAAGATCATAAATCAAAATGCCTCACTTTTAACTATTTGAGCTGTGTTTTTTCAGTTGTCAGAGACCACACCTCTCCCCAGGTATACTATGAGTCGGAGTTAATGCCCCACATATATTCTTCCTCCAGAGTCAGCAATGTAACATGCTAATGAGAGACCTCAATAAATCATCTGGCCCATCCCCTTTATACAGCCTGCATACCTCCCCTGTACATCCCCTATATACAACTTAGTTAAAAGCACTAAGTTCTAAGTATATTGTGACCTCTCAAAATTATTTATAGTTATTTTAAAGATTAAAATGACAATGTTTTTCAAGGTTTTATTGAGTGAAAAAATGTCTGTAGCTATAAAATTGTTCTATCACTAGTAAATGGTCGTTTTTATATATTTGAAGATAACTCAGCCTGATATTTCATACATTTTTTCAAACTAGTATTTTGGAAGGTGTTTCCATATCATCATGGAAGTAGTTCTTTTAACAGTGTTCTTTTCAAATATTAAATTGCCGGGCGTGGTGATTCATGCCTGTAATCCCAGCACTCTGGGAGGCTGAGGTGGGTGGATCACTTGAGGTCAGGAGTTCAAGACTAGCCTAGCCAACATGGCAAAACCCTGTCTGTACTAAAATTAGCCAGGCATGGTGGTGTGCACCTGTAGGCCCAGCTACTCAGGAGGTTAAAGCGGGAGAATCGCTTGAACCTGGGAAGTAGA